GCACACATTACTTTAGCAGAACATTTTGATAATATTTAAAATTCTAAATCATTTTTTTTGTACCCACAAAACAATTATGAACAAAACTTTCATAAATAAGCGATTCTAGTGTACATTGATTGTGTAAAACATTCTATTTTATGCTGAATGAGAGTGTAAAGTGTTAGGAGTTAAATTAGAATTTGATTTCCTCATTGGTACGGTTAGCATAGGTATTAGTATTTCAGGTTTTCCATCAATCCTACAATACAGAATCATTGTAGTTGAAAATAATTGCTGTACTTCTTTTCCTATTTTTTTTTTTTTACATCATTACCTAATGGGTACCGCCATTACCCTTTTACCGCCGTTAGGTTTATTTATTTGTAACGTATTGTACATGTAGCTCGTTAGTAAGGACATTGTTGAGTATTATCAGCCATCGATTTTATCATAATACACAGAAAAATACTGCAATTACTAAGTGCAATTAAGAGTTAGTGAAAAATACAAAGTGTATGCAGCTATATAACATGATTGTACTAGTGTAGTATTACGGTATAGTACTTGTGCTTGGAATAATAATAATCATACATTGTATGCACTGTCAATAATACTTGCATGTCAACGTGTAAGCATTTGCCAATAACAACCGGTTGGCAAATTGTTGTTGACTTAAAGTGATGTGCGTGCCACTCTCTAAAGGCGTGTAGACTGTAGTGATGATGATAATATTATATAAGCATAGATTTTCTCTGTGACACTGATCAGAAACTTTCCTGGAAAATTTCATTTTATGTAGTTAATCAGTTTGGCTTCTGAGCGGCTCGTTTGAAAGCAATGACATTAATTATGAAATTGTGTTTACCGAGTGATTGTAAAAAATATATAGGCACTCATTTTTTTATTAACCTATAGGAGCAATACAAAACAAGTAGGTTATATGGAGTTTCATAGTTTTAGAACGTATACCTACATATTATAGAAATTGCAAACGAGACTATGACGAAATAAACACATTTTTTTCTAAGATAACGGTCAAAATAGAAACTACAAATAACAGCTGTACTGGAATTTCTCGGTTTCAATGTAAATGTGTCAGTTTCCTTAAATACAGATGTTACACTGTGCTGTCAGTATAGATTACTATTACATACCGAGCACTCCCGTTTTACCGGACGAGACTACTTTCATTTGAACCGCTATATAGCTACTATATTGGGAATGTCGCTGTTCAAACTGTAGCCTTTTTAATCATCAGAAAAAAACCAAATCGAGAGTGCTGTGTGTTTGCTTTGGCCCGGCCTAAGTATGAGCTTTTTGCGAAAAATCAGATCGCCCTAAAAGGTTTGCTGGTGCTGCTGTCGTTTCCGACGTGTTGGCCAGAGGATATGGGGGAGAATCGAAATAAATTACATTTATTTAAATTGCGTCGAGTCACGAGGATTTATCACACACACACACACAGACACCACCGTCGTCGCTATATGTAGGTATATGAACGTTCAAGTTAAAAGCACACACACATTATTATGTAAATTGACGAATGTACAATATAATATAATAGAGGTTCTGCTTTCCATCAGAAACCCAAAAAACCGCGATGGATTTATGATAATAATTCGCACGCTCCACACGGTTTTATCCAGATAGATCATGATTTCCGGTTTTTCTTTAAATATTGTTCGCATTACTTATTTCATATCCGGCCGCTCCGTGTGTATGCACAAAGTGCACAAGCTTTATAAAGGAAATGTAGTGAAATATCATAAAATGTCAAATTTGATAAACCAGTCTACTAAATTATACTGTAACGCGAGTTCGTTAATGCTGTATAATAATCTTAATATATTATTTTATATAAAATATATCATCATGATTGTCGTTGCCGGTCGATCGCATACGGATCCATATACTATGTAAGACAACATAGTTAATATTTTATAATATAAAGTGATGACTTATTTTACAAAGACTTATTTTTTTTTGCAATTATTAAAACTGTTAAAAATCAATATATTTTGGCTCTCGAGGCAGAATCTTTGTAAGTAAATTTTACCTATTTAATATTTTGTTTTTATTAATATTTTTCTAAAATTGTGAAAAAAGTGATTGCTTATATTATTTATACATATATTATATTGTGTATAAGTTGTTAGTTAATGTGTAGGAAAAATAAAAACAATTTAAAAGTTGTCTTTATATGCAAAAAAGCTTGTTGATTTGTACAGATTCATATCTCTAAAACTACTTGAAATATTTAAAGTCGAGGGTGGCATAACTATATAATAAGTAAAATAATATAAATCCTTAAATGGAACATTAGGTTCTGTGTTTGGACTAGCACTAACTAACGAGCTCAGGAAATCTGCCTAGGCCTGAAATAATAATATGGTTGTACAACCCAATTTATTATTTTAATAACATTTGTAAGTTTTACTGTCTTAATGTCTCGACACATTTCAGTTTAGTGGAAAATGTTTTAAGTATAATATAATATAATTGATTGATATTGTAAAAAAGATACTAATTTAGGAAATATTATTGAAACAACTGTGTTGTCTACTTATATTTTATACATTTATTTTGATGTTATAGAAATATTTTGTGTCATCCTTAACAGTTTTGGTGATAAAAGAGGCGTTGTTTGATTTGACATTTACTATTACAGTAACAGAGTTTATTGAAAATTAATATGTTATCTTAAATTTGTTTTAATTCAAATACATTAAAAAGGTTTTCAATTTCTCAAAAAAAGTCTTTTGTCTAGTTGGGACTTGTCGTATGAACTCTCAAAGATATAAAGCACAACTTGTACAGTGGGTATATATATTTAAATATATATTGAAAAATTGCAATAAAAAGGTATTTGCGATGGATGAAAGAATACATATGGGTTGAAGACAACGGGCCAAATGTAGATAGTGCAAGATAAGACAGATTTTTCAATAACCACCTTTAAATTGAGAATTTAAATAAGTTTCCTTTTGAGGGGACTTTCAAAGCGCAGTTTCATATATAGTTGGGAATATTGTCCTTACAATATGTTGATGGCATTTTATTTTAAATATCAACGATTTTGAAACTATGAATATCTAGCCAAAAAACTATGGGCACTCAAAATGTGGTAGGTAAATATTTATATGTTTATTTGTGCCATTGAATAGAATATATAAAATGTACATGTTACTTTGCGGTGCAAGGAGTATAGGATAATAATATTCAGTGTTATAGTTTTATACTCGCTCGCGTACCCTGTCTGTCAGCCTAATCCGGAAATTTACCTTTTTTTTTCTATCTCTAAAGGGGTTTACCATAGGCAGTGTGTGCACTTAACAAACTGAGTGGGTTCCCGTTGCTTTTGTGCAGATCCGTACAATGATAGCGGATTTGAATAATTCGGCCAAACAACAGCGAGCTTCGGCTAGGCCAGAAGCACTTGTTCGTCAAAGTGTCGTCGTTTTGCCAAAAAGCTACAATACACAAAACCCAAAATAAAAGCCACGCGCCGCCTTTGAGGCAGAGATTTTGGTTTTATCTAAAAACCGCCTTGAAAGTTTATTTGGGTCGTTCCTATGCAAACAGACTCGAGCTTAGTAAGTCCACCTTGACATCATTAAGACACCTGTGTGTATTTTCTATAGACACATCTCTTTCTAAAAAATAATTATAATAAGTTAAGTTAAGCATTGTGGGACGATTAAAAACAGTTTGTTCCAGTAACAATAGTATTTTTACTTTTGTTTTATACAACAAGATCAATAGTAGTTAAGCCTAAGAGCCACCATAATATTATACATGCATGTTTTTTTTTAACCTATATATTTGTACATGGTTTAAAATATATTTTTGGTGTTAAATTAAAATCATGTTTATTTGTTAGTATCCTATCCAGAATCTAATGTATTAAATAAGATAATTTGGTATGGCTTTTATAAAATGTGTACTGGTAACATAACGTGTGTTGCTTATGCGGTTCTTTTCAAACCGATAAAGTCTTACATAGGTAACCTTCATATTTTTTTTTTAGATTACTATGAAGTCTGTTGTTATTTGAACACTACACGTGCACCACATTATTTGTCTGCTTATGTATTACAACTTGTGGCTTATAGCATAAAAAAAAAATTTTGGTCGCGACGATTTCATAAACTAAAAACACTTTAAAGATATTTCAAATAAGTAACAGAAATTTGAATATTGGCAATGTCCTATACTTTTGGACATTAAATATAATTCCTGAAAATTTAATACTTGTTTTAAGACAGTTAAAGATGGTAGCTTAAAAAAACATATCGCTATGTACTTAAGCCAAGACAATTAAAAAATCGAATTGGATCAAATTGTCCATTGAAAAAAGTTTAAAAAAATATATTATAATTAAGCAGCTACAATATTATGCCTGTTTAGTAAAAATTGTCAACTTATCAACCTTTAAATTTGTAATATAAAAATGTATACTAGAAAGTGCACATACATAAACATTTATTCGGATAATATTTCGGTTTTTGTCAATTTTTTAATGAAAATAGAGGTTTTTTTTTCTTATCAAATCTTGAAAAAATGTATTGGCAAGGTTAAATTATTATTCAGAAATTGTTGTCCTTATATTTATTATTACAATAAGAAAAGAATACTGCGTCTAGCGGTTTCTAGACATTTTTTAATGCTAGGTCGATTTGAGAACAGAATAATTACTTATTGTAATTTGACTTTTTGGTTAAATATCAGGCATGTTTTTTTTTCAATGTAACGCAAAATAAATGGTTAAAAAATATGCTTGTTCTTCGACAGGTACAAAGTTGAAAAAACGTTTGAGTACATAACTTTAGGTGCAAGATTCGCATATTAGACTAGTGGTGGAAAGTATGGCGTTGACAATATTGAATCCGATTGGTCTAGAAGTTTTTTAAAATTTCGAAAAAAAGCATATACAAGATAAACAAGATAAAACAAACAAAAAGTATTACACTGCAAAAGTCGTTATAAAAAGGCAGCCTGAGCACTAAAAGTAGTACAGTGTTTTTTGATTTTTCTACGCGTTAAGTTTATATCAGACATAAAATAGTAAGTAACGTTTCAAATGATTTTTTGCAAGGAAATGCGGTATTAAAGTTTAGGTTAGGTTTTAAATATTTTTTTTTTTAATGACAATTTATTTTATAACTAAATGTAATGTTATGGTATACTTTTTTTCGGGAAAATAATTAAAATTAGTTAATTGTCTCGTTGAAGATAACTTTGTATAGTTTTTTTTTTCTTGACAGATTGATTAAGTTTCCAATTTTTTTTTGTATTAAATGGTGTGTTTGTGCTCTTACACACTTATGTGCCTGATGTTCATTCATCCGTTAGACATTCACCATTTATTATTTATTATTTCTATTTAATATGATTGACAAAACTATTAATAAAATATATTTTGCGGTTTTTATTGTTTTAGGGACTTAAGATGAAATCAAACATGAGCGTTGTCTTAGTTGCAGTGTATTTTTTCGGTGGTATTGTAAGTCATTATTTATTGTTTGTCAGTTTTGATATTATACAACCTATTTAGGTTAATACAAAGTTACATTCTTTGGTTCTGCCTTCACTGTATACCTACACAAAACTGTTATACTATTTAATATAACCGATATATTAATCGACGACAGATGATACTAACGTTATAATATGTGTCTTTCAGATTTCACTGAGTGCTATCATTAGTAAAGATGATCATTACTGTTGTGCTGACATGGGTTATAATCTCGATGGTCGGCCCCAATCATTAAAAAAATTGTACAACAATTTAAACGAAAATAATTTTGATACATTTATGACGCAGGAACAATTTAAGGACGGTTAGTATTTAATTGAATATTTAGATTAATTTATGTTTCTTAAAAAGATCAGATTTTCATTCTGTAGAAACCACTGTTTTTTACAGTGGGGCTTTTAGGAAATCTATATTTATTTTATTCTCTGTTGTGCTTGACGAACCAAGTAAAAAAAAGAACTAAAGGTATTTTTTAAAAGACAAAAATTCTACTGGACTTGTTCAGGGTCTGAAAATATAATAGATAGTTGATTTAAAAAAACAGAACCAAAAAAATGTAGTTTTTAAATTATGTATTCAAAATTGTATTAACTAAGAAAAACACAGTTAAATTTAAATTGTGATTTTATTAATTTTTATTATCTATAAGAAGGCGTCGATTATGATTTCTATGGTAATTTCATCAATTTGAGGTAGGGGAGAATGGGGGAATACCAGTCAGTGGGTAATACCGGTCAATGGAATATCTCTTAAAATATGATAGCTAAAATTTAGATGAGCACATAATTTGATAACTTTTTTCTCACCAAAAATTAATTATTAATTTTTTTATCACTTGTAATATTTTTCCAAAATAAAACTCATCTCAAATTAAGACTTTCTAGTTTTTTACTATATTGACCGTTTCTCTAATATATCACAAACTGGCAAGGATTTATGCATTTATTTGCTCATAATATACCTAAATATTACAGGTTTAAAGTAAATACATGCATTAAAAATAAATTCTGATAGGTATTAACCAGTCAAAACTTATGGGGTACTAACGGTCTAACATACCTTACCTAACTAATATTTCCATTAAACATACAATGTCTTTGAACAATATCATTGTACAATAGGTCTGTACTGATAACATCATATTTTGATCATAATTTTTATGTTTTTTAGAAACTTAAATTTTTACTTATAATTTTACATATGTTTTTTGGTGACTGCTATTACCCCACTTTAAAAAAAAATATTTAACTTAATTATTCCCTGGCACATATGCGGATGATACAATAATTTCAGCATCACACACGATCCTCAAATTTATCTACGTTACACTGATGTTTGAAAACATGTTGAAAGATGCCAAAAAAAAATTTAAAGACTGCAACCGAATCGCCCAACGTCATATACGCATATACGTCGTAGCGCCTAACAAGATTATAGTTTTACAATACTGTGCAATGTAATTGACTTATTTTTAATTGTCATTTGTCTACAGATACATTTAGAAAATCGTATTACGACGTTATGTTGTCAGCGGCTGAAGAGGCAAGAGCGCTTATTAAAAACGGTCAAGTTAAAACTGGAATTAAGGTATTAAAGAGTGTATTAATAAAACATATTCTCCATAACGAACAAATCGATAGTGGATTGCCGTTAGAAATGTTTTTTGAGTCTTGTTCACAAAACGCTGTAAACAAACTAGTAGAAATCGCCGACCTGTTCGCAACAGACGTGCTAAATGAAGAAGTAAAAGTAGAAGAATAAATTCAAAGTTTATTATTAAATAAAAACAAAAAAAAAATGTTGATTTGATAATTATAATAATTTTGCTTCGTTTGTTTGTTTGTATTGATAATATTTATTTTACAAATAAACCATATCATACTTTGAATTGTTGTTAATTATATTTCAATGTGTATTCTTTTACCATAATAATATATAAATTATAATAATTCAAATTTCAAATATAATCAATTACTTAGGTCATAAACAGCTTAGGCCGACTCTTCTTAAATAATTTTTATAAAATAACAATGATTTTTTAATACCTAGCTTTTTATGATTTTTATAATGGATTATCTTACTGCATTTTTTTTTTATAATATAATGTTTACATTAATGAATATAATTACCAAATATGCTAAAAATATTAACTGTCTCATGAATATTGAACTAGAATTATGACCTTCGAATTTTCAATACAACAAGCGTGTTCGTACAATATTTTGTTGTTGGATCGACGTACCTATTTTTCTTATTCAAATTGATTGCAGTTGAAAAAGTAGGTACAGTGTATGTACAACTGTGTACTTAAGCCTGTAGTAGTATGTCTGCGTTTAGTAAAAATTGTCAACACATGATTTCCTATGACCTTAGGTTTTTAAGTTTAACAAGTCAAACACTGAATATTCTACTGATATAAACCGTGTATGCACTATATTTTCAAATATTACAAAACAGTTGTGAAACAAACTATGATAAATGACCAAGTTCCAAATTAAGTATAATTTTGTTCTGAGATCTAATGACAACATATAAAGCTATAAACCAATCTAAACTTGTTTAAAGTATTATGGTACTTCCCAGAAAAAATTAAAGGAGTTGTGGGAGTGCTGTCCCCTATGTATACAACTTTTCCAAATAAATAAAACTACAGTGCTAAAATGAATTCGGTTTTGTAAACTATATTAATTTAATCAGTTTTTATACATTCGGTATTACATTTCATTTATTTCTTTGTATTGGATTTGTTGTAATTTAATGTGCCATCATTTATATTATAGTTGTTGTTTTAGTCCATTTATGTAGTTTTGTATAGAAAAGTCAAATTTTTAGCATTAGGTTTTATTAACATTATTAATAATAATACTATTTTTACTTATTTCCGACACGTCTTCAGTCTATATCTATAGTAAGAAAACACCTAAATGGTAATATAATTCTTGATTCTTCGCCAGTCGCTATACATATATGTAATTATGTTTGCGTGACTTCCACTGTTATTATGCCCGTTTACAAATTGTTGTGTACTTGTGTAATAATTATCATACCACGCTAATAACAATTATATCAATTATGTACACGATTTGAGATGGCAAGATGTAAAATATTATACACCGGTTAAAAAACAATGTAAGTTGTATGATAATGATAGTTGCTCTTATAAGTAATGACTTTTATTAGTTAATTTATTTAATAACGCCAAAACAACCGATATTATATAGTAGTTGAACTAAAGTGCAAAATATATCTCAGTGGCATAATATTATAGTTTAGTACCGTTTCCGGTGCCATGCGAACCCGTTATTAGAATTCCACGTAGAAAGCTGCGTAGGCCCATCTCTTGACGATGAGATACTTACAGCCAAGGAGAACACCGACTAAGACAATTACCGAAGATGACTGGTCGCCTTTTGTCCAGTTCTATGCATACCTATATCCACGCGAGTCCGCATGTGGTATGGCCCAGCGTTAATTTATCTGTTGGTGAATTGCAAATTTACTTCTACCTGTTCAGCAACTCGAACAACAACTGTAAAACTGTATGTCTTTCATTGGTTTTTGTGATCCCATGTCTTTCCTAAAGGGAAGCCTCTCTTTATAATCTTTTAACACGCCTTAAACATTCTTCATTGTTGTTCAAATTTAAGATTTCTATACTCGTATGAGTTCATTTAATTTTCAAACCCTATAGCGATTTAAAACTAAGTATCTACCCTTGCCAATTTCCCCACAGTCATTACACTACTCTGCCGAGTATATAATTCATTCTTACACGACGTTTTAATTTATTATAATTCGGATTTTGGATTGGGTTCAAAAGGGGTACTTAAGCAAATAACGGATTTCCATAGCTATTGCAACTGTACAACACTATTATTGAGTGATTATAGTGACTAGCACTGCAAATAAAGCGAAAGCAGTTTAATTTAATTTTTTTTTTTTTTTAAGCGCCGGCCAAGTAAAATATTATTATGTAATGTTATCACGATGAGAAAATGTTTGTCCAGCAAGCAACCATTGTGAGAACCACCTGTTTTGCGTGGAGGGTTGTAGTAGTGTAAAGTGTGTTCCGGAAGGTTAGGCACTTTAATAACGGTGCAGCAGGTGGAATTGAACAAAACGTTAAGGTGTGCTCATCATATAGATAGGGATGGACAGGAAAAGGTCGTCCTGTAATCTAGCAAAGCGTACAGTAATGACAAGTATATTATAATAATATGTTATTATAGACATTCGGTTGATGTATACACCGACAGATCGACCAAATGTCGATGGCTTCTTCAACTAAGTTATTCCACAGCTAAAGCTTTGGCCCTCACTAACACTTATTCTAAAATAAAATTTATAGATTTTTGGATATTTTCTAAACCGTCGCCCTCGATTCGGTATTATTAATTTTTAATTAAAAGTTCAACAATACTTGCGCCACCAACAGATTCGCTGGCAGTTTCCTATAATGGATTTGTTGTTCTCTCTCCAGGCAGGAAGCAGGGAAAAAGTGACAACTTGAAAGTATACGAGCTTCGCCACAGGACACTAAACTGAAAAGGTTGTACCTAACCCTTTTTGTACTGGACCGCCTTTTCGTATCTCTATTTCAAAAAGCGGTTAATTAATCTTGACATCTTCCACGGGCTCATATATATTATGCAAGCCTTCAGATATGAAATATTATGTATCTTTCTTTTACCGCCGAGAGAATAACATTATCTATACAACAAGTACAGGTTAAATTGTAAGCAAATAAAATACGCATTTATATGCATTTAAATCTGTCTACATTTGCATAACGTGCAAAAAAAGTAAAATGTTTCAGAGTTTTTAATTCAATCTAAAAATGAAATATTATACAATATAATACATGTTTGTTAATACCGAGTAGTATCTTTAATAAGGTATAGAGTTGACTAGGTTAGGCAAATAATATAGTCCCATTTTATTTCACTGAAGTTAAATTGGATTTCATACTCGGTGTATTAAAAAAAATCCAAAACCGATTCAAAGAAGCGGCAGATATAAAAATGTACTTTTACAAAACGTTTAAACTTTTAAAGTGCTTCGAGCGAGTCATAAAAATCTTATATAGGCGTTAAATGTATAAATACCCATAAGACTATGTATATGTAATATTTGTGCTCAAAAACTTTTTAATATTATGCTTTGAAAGTTTTCGATTTAGAGTTTTTAAACAAAAATCTTAATCAAGTAGCGGATGTATAAAAAATACAAGAAAATAAAAGAGAGTGTAAAATACATGTATTTAAATAAAAATAATCAATAATATTTAAAAAAAACTGATAGGTTCACATACTGAAAATGTGGGCCAGTCTAAGCTAAAATTTAAATTAACATAACTAGAAATTTTTTTCTTAAAAAAATGACAACCTTTTTATGACTTTATCCAATTTTGAAAACGTTATACTCCTTTATAACTAATGGACTCATGTAGAGATCCCAATCGAAACACACAATGCGTAGGTACACTACACATATACATCAGTGGTAGTATTAATTATTGTCTCCCCATCATTATTATACCTATGAAAGCATGTATAACACTACAGTATGAAGATGTAAAAGAAAACAATCACTGAATGGGTAACGTTTCTTTTGTTTTTGAATTCCAGAGAAGACACCAACGACTTGGGTGTCCAAAATGAAAATAATCAAAACACATTTATCAAAAATTTACCCCACTTGTGCGAGAGTGCAAAAACATTTAACATATAACATATAGAAATGTAGAAAAAATATTGTCAGTTAAAAATCAGTTTTCTACATAAAACGAGCCCAGTACAATACAAAGTCAGAAAATAATACTTATAATTGGTCAATAATATTTACAACAAGTAAGTACTTTAATACAAACTTAAGACCATTCCTCCGCGTGTTTATTTAATATAATTTGCTATAAAAACATTTTTTAAGAGATGTTGAAAACCCTAAAAAAAATATCACCCGTACAACCTGTACTATTAAAAATTTATGTTTTCTTGTAGCTGTATGATAATTCTGTGAACACACACCGCTTAGAAAAATGTGTTATTCTAATAAAATAAAAAAAATCCGTTTATTCGATAATGGGACTGTCGATAATTTATTTACCGGTTTGAAAATTTCATTATAGCTTGGGGAAAAATTACAATTCCGGTTCCATCCATTGGCCAGGTAATCGAACCTATGGCGTACAAATTACATTAATTTTATATATTTTAGCTCCACCCAATCGTGACAACACCTCTCGGCTGAAGATGACAACGCCTTACCTAGAGGAATGTCACGCTTTGTCCATTTCCTATTTGTAATATTTTAATCTTGATTTAAAAAATCCGTTTTAGAAATGAGCGGCACATAATAATATTATCATAACTAGTGTCAACGATATATGAACAATAATGTTATATACATAAATTATACCCTTCTCTGGGATTTATTACACGGTGTCCAGCAGAACAACAATAATATTTAAAGGGATAATCGCACAAATCCCAACGGTCCTTATGGTCATCCTTGGTTAATTTTCATTGGCATTACAATAGTATAACAATACAATCACAACATCCCTTAATTATATAGCCACTGCCCGAAGCATTGCTGCTCCTTCTTAGTGCGTGTACTCGGATATTAAATTATAAATAAAACACAGGACTTTATCGTCGTGACCACCCTAGGTTAATTACCCGGACCGTGGTAATGGTAATGATAATAATACCAATAATGATAATAATAATATGTACACACTACACACCGCGTGTGTATATTTACATGACGGTTTCATCATCAATCATACCCCGTTGACGACCGAGTTGGTATTTTTAAAAATTACTTTTTATTTTATTTTATACAAGACGGACATTAACAACAGACCGGTCAGTGTGTTTACAGGAT